TTTCTATCATCTTTCATAAATTTGACGAGAATTCGATCAGTCGATCGGAGCAAATATTCTTTTTTTGCCAAAAAAAATACAGAGAAAACGTCGATGGTATCCGTAAGTCAATTCGTGGGATTAAAACGTTGAAGAATCCTTTGTATTTGAAAAATGATAAGTATGATATATATGAAATGTCCAAACGAAGCATCTCTTTGCACCATTAACTGTTTTTCAAAAATATCATTAGACTGTTCGAAATTGATTCATGAGAAAACCTTTCAAGATGCTAAAAAGCTTTCCCACTAAGGATACGATGATTAGATAGGGCATGGTCAGAAGGGAAACAGTCTAAGTTAGCTTGGACCCAAGTCGTTTCTAGAAAGAGTTATGAACTGTTAAAGTTATAAGTATAAGTGCCAATTCTATTTGTGAATGTCAGTTTTGTCGAACAGGAAAAGACCTATTAACTTGAAATTTTTATCATGTCTATTCAAAGCTGTGTTTTTGATGAGCTGAAAATCTCAATTTCAAAGGAAAATGATGTGAAGAGAACGAAACTTTTCAAAATCTTCTTCTTAACTTTGCAGCTTTTCATGTTAAACTGTTTAATTAACTACATTGCATTCTTTTTTACATTGTCGAGTGGTGTTTTTTGTTTCTCCTAGTTCTTATACTGCCGCAGGCACATCAGTGAAACATGAAAAGCTGCAAAGTTAAGACGAAAATTTTGAAAATTTTCGTTCTCTTCACGTCCTTTTCCTTCGGAATTGAGATTTTCAGCTCATCAAAAACACAGCTTTGAATAGACATGATAATAATTTTAAGTTAATAGGTCTTTTCCTGTTCGACAAAATCAACATTTATAACTTGAACAACTCATAACTCTTCCTCGAAATAACTTGAGCTATTTCACTCCTAGCTATGCCTTATCTAATCTTCTTATTCTCAGTTGAAAAGCTTTTTAGCACTTCGAAAGGTTCTCTGACCAGTGCATATTAGTAAAATTAATGTCAGCATAAATTGATCGATTATTTCATAATAACAGAAACTCAAATTGAACCTGAATATTGGAATGATATAATTGATTAGTACATGTATACATGTTTTAAAGTTGTCAATCTTTCTGAATTTATGTATTTCTAGAAACACAATAGGAATATTAACAATTAATTAAGATTTCACATTACCAGAGATTTTTTTAGTCTCAAAAATATAAAAACCTATTTTGACTCTATGCTCAAAAACGAGTGGAGTTATGTTTCACAAATTAGACAAAAAAAAACTACCGATAGAAAATGAGAATCAACAGACTTGAAACTTTTCTCAAATGGACAGATGCCTGAAAAGTATCTCATGAGAACGCTGTCTACAAACTGATTTTGTTTTCATCTTTGATAGAAACATAAAGACAGAATCTATCTATTGCTTTTCATTGTATACTTCAAATCACAACAGTACAGATGACATAAAATTCATCTGTTTTCTATATAATTTTAACGATCACCAAAATGCTAATGCTTTTTTTCTATTTAGAATACTTTCCCTTGTAAAAACAAAGGTGATTGTCAAATATCATTAGAAACGCGCCGTAATTGTGTGACCTGTCGCTTAGCTAAATGTTTTAATAGTGGAATGCAGCGTGATCGACTTTCTACGGTATCAATAAAACAAAAGAAAATCTTTCATAAAACTAAGTTCTAGGCTGAACAAAAAGCATCAAAACATCGTCAAATAGAAGAAAATCGACGTTTAGCATTGAATTCAAATTCTCAAACAAATGAACAAGAGTTTCAATTGTCATCATCCACGTTTTTGGACGATGTAAGAACATTTAAAAAAAAGAAAAAACATAATTTCATTTATCTATTCTTGTATTATTCTCAGTTATTTACATCGATAGACACAAATATTCTTCTCACAGATTTTACTTATCTTCTATCACCTCAACCACAACAGACACTACTCAGTCCGGAAGATTTACAACGTGTAGAAACTATATCAGTGTTTTATCAAAAGCGTATCGAGTTTGGTAAGCGAGTATTTTTGTTGATCATTTCTCTTTTCTTCTTACTATGTTTGTATCTTAGCCGCTCATGATGGTCTTCCATGGGATCCATCAGTGGATGCAAAAACATTTTTACAAGTTCTCAACAGTCAATCAGTAGCAGTCATGCGACTTTTATCATTCTTCAAACAAATACCTGAATTTATTCAATTAAATGCTGATGATAAAGTCACCTTAGTTAAATATAATCTTACAACAATTCTTGGTATAAATTGTGCACTTTCATACAATACAGAAACTGGTCAAATCATTGAAAGTACCTCTGATGTACCAGTGAATATGCAATTCTTTCCAGTACTTCATGGTTATAAAATGTGTATGCAATCAGGAAAGATCTTTCGTTCATTTTTACATATAGCGAAATATGATCGGAAAATCATTGAATTAACACTGATTATACTTATTCTTACAAAAGGCTTTTCAATAATTAATCATCTTGATGAACAAATATTCAATGATGAAATGTCTGTATATCGTGCACAAAATTTTTACATAGAACTGTTGTGGAAATACATGGAAACAACGCATGGATATAAAAAAGCAATTGATCTATTTAGTCACCTTATTGGTAATGCCATTTCATGGCAAATCATTCATGAAGAAATGCGAAATGATATAATGCGAACATTATCACCAGAAGATATTAATGAATTATTGCCAATTGTCAAATCATTATTGCGCATTTCATAATATCTAACTAAAAAGGTCATTTCACTGAGAAAAAAACATTTGTATCCGCTTTTTTTTTACTATAATATAATTACTGACACATCCACGTAGCGTAGGAATGGTCTTTTCCTTTTCTTCTTGAAAGCAAAAAGAAAGTGAAAGTACCACTTCTAACTTACGAGGGAAGGCCCCCAGGTGTGAAGCTTCGTTTCGACTCTGACCTTGACCATTTTGTAGAGCTCAGTGAGTACAGCAACTAATAGAAAGGGTTCGCCCCGATAATAGACTTTTAAGGAACCGCAAGGTACCACAAAGGATATCCTATAATGATTGGGGATAAATTGTTAATGGTAGTTTTCATAGTTTATATCGATGTAGAGAGCTGAAACTTTTATCACATATATATCTAATTAAGATCTTTTATTCCTGAAAGTTTCAGCTCTCTAACTATAACTAGTGGCAAAATACATCGACAAGATCGGAATACATAAATGTTCGTACTCAGTTGCTGCATTATTTTCACCGTCTAATCCAAAAATCGAGCACGAAAATTTATGTATTCCGATCTTGTCGATGTATTTCACTATTAGTTATAGGTAAAGGGTTGAGACTTTCAGAAATAAAAGATCTTGATTAGATACATATATCGTACAAATTTCAGCCCTCTACATCAAGGCAAAGTATGAAAAATACCCTTAACAAATTATTTCCAGTTATTATGGAATAGCCTTTATGGTACCCCGTATCCGCTTAAAAGTTCAGTATCGGGATGAACCCTTTATGTCACATGCTGTACTCATTGAGCTCTACAAAATGGGCAATATTCGATTCGAAACAGGGCTTCACGCTTGGGGACCTTCCCTCGTTAGTGTGATTTTTTGTGTCTATTATAAAATGTATTTTATGCTGTTTCATATAAATAATGTTCGTTTTACTTAAATATTATCAACGTTCTCTATATAGATTGTCTACTAGTGAGAACGACCATCATAAAAATGCATACCATTGTTAAGTTTTCTCGTTCAAACAAATCGCAAAAATTCGACTAAAATTGGATTTTTCGAACAATTCTAAATAACCGACCATATCATGTATTGAACAGATTGGGAAAATAATTATGATGAATAGAGAAGAATATTTTAGAAACGCCCATATGAAGCCGTTAAGAAATTTCTATTTTCTCGAAAAAGTAATATTGAAAAAAAATCGAAAGACCCATTGTGATTTTTCAGCTATGAAACAAACTCATCGACGAATTTCTTTATATTTTCCTTGGAAACCATATTCGATATCACAATGCAAATAGAAAATCTCTCAGGGTGTGGGTGTAGGGCGTGGGTAGTGAGTGTGGTTGTAGGTGGGTGTGGGTATGGGTGTGCTCATTCATATTCAGTTTAGCCACACCCACATCACCCACATTCACACCCTGTCAGTAAGTCTGTTTTTAATCGGTACGCAATCGAAGTGAGAACAGTTAACGTTAGTCAAATCATAGATGTTGACCTAGATTTAAATTTATTTTTTTTTTGAAAAATATACTATATAAAACAGTTATAACAGCAATGACTCTCAAGTTTATTCTTTTTATGCTAACGCATAAAATCTCTTGATCTATGAATCGTGCACGTTAAAACATGCTCATTTAGCTAATATTTTTGTTAAACATGCTAGTGCGTTGATAGCAAAAAAACGTTTTCAGGCGTGTATTTCTTTAATTTATCGAATTAATGAGTTTCAAAGAGTTTTTTTCTTCAGCTTTCATCATGAACACGTGAAAACAACGCTTTGACCATTTATTTATCTGCGTGGGTAAGGAACAATTTAAACAAAATAAAAAAGTGTGTCAAACTTTTTTCCTTCGCTTTGTACCCAACAAACACCAAAGTGCAATTTATGATCGTGATTCTTATTCGATTTTTTTGTCTATTCTCTCGCAAAAGGCAGCACAGCTGGCATAATAAGTAGAATATTTTTTCTTTACTCATACGACCAAAATACCAAAAACTATCAGGAATATTAATGGGTCTTGCACATGTTGCTTATATATAATAGCCTTCAGCATAAATTTTTGCTTCTCGTTAGTAAATAAGTTGTTCACGAGTCAATACCCGAAAAAATATAGGTTAACAACGCAAAATCGCTGATTACTAAGCGACTTCAAATCGACTTTACTTCAAGGAATAAGATAGACACTATACTTATTCCATTCAATGTGATTAAGTTCTCGTCTCCAGTCTTCAAAACGGCAAGTTCGTTAGAAAAACGAAATTTAAGATCAATATATACTAGAGTACTTTGAAGTTTGCACGACAATAATCAATGTCATTTTGGATTTTCTTTTTTCGAGAAAGACTAGTTCTCGTTACGAAAAATCAATTTTTGTAGGGAAGAATAGAGTTTATTTCATAGCAGTTCTTTTGCGCAAAAAAGTTAGACTTTTATGGAACTAGACCATCCAGACAGTCTACAATGTATACTGAGTGCAGACGTGATTAGATGGAAATTTTGATGAAGAGAAAAGTCCCATCCACGTATACAATGGAGAGGTAGTTGTAGTAAGAGAAGCCAGAGTTGCTCATACATCGGCCATTAACATGGATTTATTCATGTACTCACCGATGTAACCGTTAGTTTCATCGTCGTACAACTAGCTTTATCAGTGCATAAGTTCTCGAAGTTCATTGTATTAATGTAATGTTGCTTTAGTGGAGTGAGAGATGATAGTTAATCAGGAAGCAAACTAAATTCGTTCCTATTCACCCAAAAAGTTCTATAAAAATCAAGTGAATAGCTCAAAACAATGAAAAATTTATCTGGTAGTATACAGGAAACTAGTAAAATGTGATTAGTTGAATAACCAGATTATTAGTATCAGTTGAAGACTAAAGAGCATAGAAGCTATTGTTTTCAGCCAATTAAGCAATCGAGTTGCTCGTAACAGATCTGTTACAAATATACATGTATACGAAAAAGAAAACCTTGTAAATGTGATCTTTTAGGTTAATACAAGTTTATGTTGGGAATATAGCATTTTCCGAAAAAGTTCGATTAAGGCTATTTGAGGTCGTCGAATCAAAATGTATAGCGGATGAACCAAAAATGCTAAATTAGAACCATTATATCGATGCATCGTACCACCCGTATAACATCAAATTTGCATTCATAGTAGAGGAATAGATTCATTTTCGTATGAAACATTTTTATTATATGAATCGTTTGCACGAAAAGAAATTTCATTGGGAAGGCGTAGCCGAAAAAGCATAGAAATAGAAAAAAAAAGAGTAAAGCAGCATTTAAACGTATAAATTTTTTAGCGTTTTAGAATGTTAATTGCGATTCTTAACAGTGACTTAGGAACTAGGGTGTGGGTGTGAGATGTACTGTGAATTGCGAATAAATACCCTCACCTGCAGCCACACACACACACCCAATTTTAGTCTTTTTCTCTTTTTTTTACTTGATAGATCATAGAAATGATCATGCATATAAGTGAATCCGCTATAAACTGATCGGTTATTACTCTGTCTAATTATTTCAAGCAATTTCAACAAATTATTGACATATTATAAATCTCAACATTACATATACACTTCATTTGGCTCTAATATCAAATGTATCTCATAAACGTGATTTTGTTTTATGCATTTCTAATGATGGTGTTTATCTTATGCCAATTCGTTTCAATTTTGACTTTGCAGAAAACATTTGCCAGCTCTATAATTAATTTAAGATACCGTAATGCGACTGAATTTTGTAAATTTTCAAATGAAAATAGTGGCTTGCACTATCAAAATCTTTGTGATTGTTACTCAGAAGGAGTAAACATCCACAACTACCATAAACTAGAAGATCATAAGTGTAGATCAATAGAAAGGTCATGTGAAATTCATTCGTGTTCAGCAGCTATTGATGTTGTAATCTTATGGGTCAACAGTGATGATGAAAGTTGGCAAAAGTTATTTAATGCTACTCTGAAATCCATGAAAATATTTAGATACAATGTGGATGATTCAATTTCAATGAAAAGATTTCGCGATTTGAAGCAGTTGAAATATTTGCTTAGATCTATTGAAGAAAATGGCAAAGAATGGGCCAGAAGAATTTTTCTAGTAACAAATAATCAAGTTCCAGAATATATAAATGTTAATCATCCGAGAATAAGAGTTGTAAATCATCAACAACTATTCAAATATACGAATGTAACGCCTCCACATTATTCCCTATTTAATTCAATGGCAATCCAATCCATGATACACAATATTCCTACTCTATCATCTCCATTTTATCTATTCGATGATGATATTATTATCAGAAAACATTTACCAGTTAACGCAATTATTGATCGAAACAAAAGTATAATCGACTTGGCTGATAATAAATTTCATATTCGTGTTCAGACACAGACACTTTATGAAGCCAACATACAATCAGCTATGAATATGGCACTGAGAAACAGATCAACTCCTCTACTCGGAGATTATGGTCTATATTCAACTGGTTTCCATGGTCCACTACTTTTTTACAGGGAGATTGGTATTAAAATCTGGGATGAATTTCGACAAGAAATGAACTCGCTAATATCTCATCCATTTAGAATGCGTACAGATCCTTCAATACAAACACTTTATATCTACATGGGATATTCAAGTTACTACACATTTTTGAGAGGGCGAAATATGCTTAGATTTGATGTGTTAGTAAATTCTATACCTCAAATGAATCGAATTATTTTGAAGAATGCACTTAATGATAATTCTATCTATTTTTTATGTGTAAATGACGACTTACCATTACTGACTGAAGAGATACTAAAGTGTATAAATGAAGCCTATGAAATCATTTTCCCGAAACATTGTTCACTTGAATCCTAATTTTTGAATAAAGAATAGTTCTTTTAAACTTATGACTGTGCATTGCAATAAGTAATCATGCGATGTGTACTCAAGTATAATTTGCTATATGAATACTAACTCAAGAGGAGTGTATTATTTTTATACATTTCTTTCATATAATGAGTGATC